AGCACAGAGCCCAAAGTGGGGCTTGAACTCAAGAACCGCGAGATCATGACCTGAGCCGAAGTCAGACGCTTAACCGCCTGAGCCACCCACACGCCCCTCTGTATTTATTTTTAAAGACAGCGTTTAAACCAGAATCCTTCAGAGACTGCATGAAATTGACTGCTTCCCAGAGCTGCTTGCTAAAGCAGTGCTTCCGTAATTGTACTGATTTGAACATTTATTAAATCTTAAGTTCAGAACGGTGAAAAGGCCATGGCTCTGGAATCACACTGGACCGCGGTTTGAATTCCAGGTGCACTAGTTACGTAAGCTTGGGCAAGGCGCTGCATCCGAGAACCTCCATTTCTTCCTCACAAAAGTGCAGTTAAAATGCCTGTCTCATAGACATGTCATAAAGATTAATTCTGCAATGCCCGGGATACAGTAGAGCTCAGGAAATGTGAGTTCCCTTTGAAGGAAGCACTCAGATAGCAATGCAGAATGCCGTTCTTAAAATGTTTCCTCGTTGCCTTGCGTTCATTCACTCATCATCCACTCATACAATCCATCAGTATTTGCTGAGAACTAACACTGTGTCCGGCAGGATGACAAGGGCTGAGGATACGACAACAGGCAGCACAAACACGGTCCCCGTCTCAGGGGGCTTACATTTTGGCGGAAGAGACAGACAAACAGAATAATCGCAGCCCGTGATAGATACTGAAGAGTGTCTTTGGTATAGACGCGAAAGCGCAAAGGGAACTGAAAGAGAGGCCATCTGGGGCTGCCATTTCAGGTGGTGTGGTTAGTTACAGCGTCTCTGGGGAAAGTCTCATGTGGGTTAAGACGTGAAGGATGAGAAGGAGCCAGCTCTAAGGAGAGCTGGGGAAAGGCTGTTCAGGCAGCGATTCCAGCACATGCAAAGGCCCTGAGGCAGGAAGGTTTCAGGAATAGCCACAAGGTCACACTGCCCTGAGCAGTGAGTGGCAGGTGAGGAGGAGGGAGTGGGCAGTAGGCTATAGGTCGCCCCTTGCTGGGGTCTGTTCTGCATTTCCGCAGACCCAGAGGAAAGAGCAACGGGCCTAGATGGATGGGGCAGCTGTGCCTGGCAGTTTGGGGCAGAAAATGGGCGCTCACAGGTGGAATCCAGATGTGAGGAGCGTCAGGCAAGAAGCGAGCATTTGGGCCTGGGCAGGTCCGTCAGGGGTGCCCCAGAACGTGTGCACAGCCCAGCGTGTGAGGGCTGCTCCTGAGCACAGGTGGGTGTCTTGCAGTAAAGGAAGGAGTTCCCGGGGAAACGGAGTTCACGTAGAAGACTAGGTGGCTCAGGAGGGCTGGCAGTAGAAGCAGTGAAGGGTCCTACCTCCTCAGCAGCGAACACACTTGGCAGAAGAAAGACTTGGCAGAAGTGAGGAAGACAGGAGCATGGTCACCCAGCCCGTGAAGCAAGGTGGAGACCTGATCGCCGGGGGTGAGGCACCAGCCTGGAGCCCACCCAACCGTGTGTGTGCGTTCCAACCCTCGCCTGCCTCTCGGGTCTCACCTCAGCACGCTCCCTCTCATCTCTACTCCAGCCAAACTGGCTGCTTCCCAGGCTTCCTGCTCACAGGCCTCCTCTCACCACAGGACCTTCACACATGCTGTCCCCCCCCCCCCCCCCCCCCCCCCCCCCCCCCCCCCCCCCCCGCCGGGAACACTATTCCTGCCACTCTTTACCTAGATAACTCCTACGCTCTGCCTTTCCCCAGGGATGCCTTCTTGGGCGTACATAACTGGGCACACTAGATTGACACAGTCTCGTAGCACCTTTGTGGCATTAGACCCCAGTCAGTTTCAGTCTGATATTCATTTGTGAAATATGGGTTAACATCTGCCCCACAGAAGTTCTAAAAGGGGAGGAATCAAATCTGTTTGGTCTCACCACTGTATCTCTGCTGCCTCGTGCAGCGTCAGGGCTAAATACTTAATGAACAAATTAATTATTAATAAAAAACAATAATGCTAGCTTGACTCTTCAGTAGCTGGCTTAGACCAGTGGTTCTCAAAGGGTGGAGCCAGCATCATCAGCATCCGCATCTCCAGGGAGCCTGTTAGAAATGCAAATCTTTGGGGCCTGCTCCAAAACCGACTGAAGCAGAAGCTAGGAGGCGAGGGGGGAAGGAGGGCAAACTGCAATCCGTTTGAATGAGCCCTCGGGGAGATCCTGGTGCCCACTTCGGTTTTAGATCCACTGGCCTCATTCCCTATAGTGGGGAATTTATTTTTATTTATTTATTTATTTTTAATTTTTTTTTTCAACGTTTATTTATTTTTGGGATAGAGAGAGACAGAGCATGAACGGGGGAGGGGCAGAGAGAGAGGGAGACACAGAATCAGAAACAGGCTCCAGGCTCTGAGCCATCAGCCCAGAGCCTGACGCGGGGCTCGAACTCACGGACCGCGAGATCGTGACCTGGCTGAAGTCGGACGCTTAACCGACTGCGCCACCCAGGCGCCCCAGTGGGGAATTTATAAGTGAACTTATAAGTGGGACTTGAACGGCCCTGTCTTTACAGATAACCGTTCCATTAGGCAAAAGCTGAAACTAATCTTTTTTGTTGAGCCATTGTGATGATTGGACTTTGGACTTGACCTGAGGGCTTTAAAGGTCACGACTCAGCTGTGCTGGGGCTTGGGGCAGGTGACTTAGCGTCTGAACCGTAGACATACACGTGCAGTTTCCTACTGGGGAAAACAGGACCCAGCTGTTGACTTGAGTGGCACTGCCTGAACTTTGTTCAGAGGTGAGGGTGGCAACACTCAGCTCTGTGCTAGACAAGATAATCCTGCAAACTCACAAACTGAAGCAGAGCAGGGCCCAGCCACAAGCGGGTGCTCCGGGGGCTTGAATATCTTCCCTACCGTCGCTGGAGACTTCCTGTTGGCAGTTCTCTCCCGCATCATATCTTCTAACACTGGAAGCCCACCGATGTTTGTTAAATGCATAAGTGAGTGAATCAAGGAATGTATACATAAATGAATGGAAGAAGGGATCAAGAAATGCTTCGTCTGCTTAATAGAATACAAATGTGGATCCTCTCTGTTGTGGAACCTTCTACTGCAGAGAGGAAGATCCTCTGTATTTAGCCCTCTTCCTCAAAGATTCCATTTTTGATTGAACCCAGAGATGGAATGAATAGAAGTTTGTGAGTTAACTAACGGGTCTTTAGAGCTCCACTGAGGAGGCAGGGAGAAGGGAAGAAAAGCTAATCCCTGCTAGACGGGAAACCTCATGACGACGGGAACATGTTGCTTTTGCTCCCCACTCCGTCTCCGGCATCTCAGACAGAGCCTGGCCCATTACCCAAGCTCCACAAACATCAATTGTTGAGCGACTGACTTACGGAGCGACCGTTACGTGACTGGCGATCGGCCAGGCATTTCATGGGTAACCACAAAGGCTCGCTGCCCCTAACAAAGGAGAAGGCCGCATGGCATGGCTGGATGCAAATCCGGGTATCTGGCTGTGATGTCCATGCTTTCCCGCCTAACCCGGGCTGGCCCCTGGTAGCAGCCACCGGCCAGATTCTTCGTGGCCTCCAGGTTGTGAAATTCTTGTAGTTGCATCCGGGAAGGTAAACCCACCTCCCGGCCTTCTGGGCTATTTATGGCCGCTCCCAGAGCCCTTGCTGTTCCTGGTTTGGTCCCTAACATGAGCGTTACAGTATCTCTCTTACTTTGTCTTCACACCTCTTAGAATCTCTGCGGAAGGAGTGGACATTGTACTGGACTGCCTGTGCGGGGACAACACTGGAAAAGGTCTCAGCCTTCTCAAACCACTGGGAACCTACATTTTATACGGTAAGTGCCGAAGAGAAGCAGAGATACGGTCTGCAACAGGGGGCACTGCACCTGTGCTTACAAAGGCACTGACAAATGCCTTGTGTTGATATGTTGGGGTAGCGAGACGGGGGGCTTAATTTTTAAGTGTTTTCCATAGTCTCGCTATTGCCAGTCGTTATTTTCAATTATAAAAGCAAGCGTATATGCCTATTGGCCTGTTAACCCCATGAATACTTCTCATTCCAAAAGGGGTAAAGCAAGACCAAGCTGGTGTAGCCATTGAGATAGGACTTGACCCACAGAAGGTGGCCCAGGTGGGAAATAGTACTGGCTTCGGAGGAAGTCCAAAAAAAATGAAGGAATCAAGGACCCACAGTAGGACGGGAGGGGGCGGCAAGGATATGGGGGTTTTAAGGGAGATTCTCCACCATCGGAGATGAATTTGCAAAGCACAGCCTCTTCCTCTTCTCAACTCCTCCTGTGTGTCCTAATTCCAAAGAAGCCCTGGATGGCTGGAGCACATTCCCTGATAACGCTCTTGAGTTTGAGCGGGAATTTATGAAAGTTCTCTGGGAGATTTTCTCCATCAAAATGAGACCCCAGACCTTCCTCCTCTCTTCTTTCTCTCTTCTGTCACACGATTGTAAACTAATGTCAACATGAGTCTCTACAAAGTCAAAAAACCATCTCTGAAGCCAGATATCACATTCTAACGCCCAGTGATCCTGGGGCTATCCAACGTTTGAGAGTTTTAGCACTTCTGTCCCCTGTCAGTCTGATAGCAAGTTGAGCCTTTGCTCTGTGGAACTCAGAAAAAGGTGCTCATTTCCCTGCTATTCACTGAGAAGCTTCTTAAAGAGTTATTTGAGAGGTAGAAATATTCGAGCATCTTTTTATCATCATCGTTATGACGGAAAGAGAGGAGATAAGCTTCCCATTGCTGGAGCGTTGCAGTATTTTCAATAGCGGTCACACGTCTGAAAGTCTTTGGAGGTGGATGCGTGATTCTTTACCCGTTCCCACTATTTATAAAAGGAGTTGTGAGCGTCAGTGCACGATGCGGGGATACCAGATATGATGAACATGTGAGCTGTACTCGCTTCGGGAGCACATATACTAACGCTGACTAACATGTGAGTCAAATGTTAGACGGACAGTTTATTCGTTCTTATTTATTTGCCAGTTCTGTTTTTGCCCCAGTTCCATGATGCCATTTGGAAGAACATAATTTGACCGTCTCACATAGCATCTAGTTGATTGCATCAGTTACTAGGTAACGAGAGCCAAGTACCGTCCTGCTTGGTGATAAAAACAGAAGCAGTGATTGAATAACTGGCTACTAGACGACACAGGCCAAATAATGAGGTTCAGAATATACACTGTTTTTTCATTCACTAGTGGCAAAGGACTAAGAAGGACTTATTCCCAATCTTTGGGGACAAGGCAACAGAGTTGTTGAAAAGACACCAATGTGGCATCTGAACTGTTAAGAGCTCTCTCATCCACTCCCTACCCCCAGGAACCACACAAAGGGAGCTTTTTCTCCCTGTAAGAACATCGTAGGAAATCCTCCTAATTCCCTCCCTCATCCTCCCGTCGAATACTGCGTGTTCCCATCAGCAAATCTCCATTTCTCGCACCGTTTGTCTCAAGCGGTTTTGACCTTCCTGCTCAGATTTCTTTGGAGCTGGTATGTCGGTCACATCATTTCCTTGGCTCGTGAACCTATTTCACCCTCATTAGCTCTTCTGTACCCCATTTTTTCCACCCGTCTAACTTCTAACTCAGCCCCACCTCTCCCTGCCACTTAAGTGCCCAGCCCAGATCAGAGCCCCTTAACTGGTGAAGGAATCGAATTCAGACCATGAATTGGGCTCACCTAAGACTTCATCTCCAGTCTCGAAGAATGGAACCAATAAGACATTTCAGGAACTCATCATTTCATTAGAGTGTGGGCCTAAGTCACATTTTTGCTACGTGCCCAATTTTCCAAAGTAATGGCAGGGTCACCTTGAGAAATAGTACTTTCTCTGATCCCATGACACTTGGCTGAAATTAAGTCAACCTGACGCCACCCATCCTCTCCATTTCCCCCCTTGTTCCGAGGCCGAATTGAAGTTATTTTCAAGCTCTTGGCACTTCTGGACCAGACAGTTGCTATTCTTCCATGTGTGGCAAGAGATGCTGATTTTCATTAGCAATAGTTTGACTTGGGAATGCTTCATTTGCAGGTTCATCCAACATGGTGACTGGAGAGACCAAGAGCTTCTTTAGCTTTGCCAAATCGGTAAGTATCCAACACACGTCAAATGTACTGTGGTAGGTAGTGTGGTGATTTGTGTGTTGTGAGCTCCTCCATGTAAAGACATTGACCTAATAACCTAAATCTGGTGTGTCCGTCCTCTGTGTCATTCTTTTTCAATATAGACTGCATTCCCATCATGCTCCTTACACATGGGCAAGACCGTGTGCATAGTCTGGCTGCTTTGTCTAAACGAAGCAGAGAGGTGCGAGCCTCAGAGAAACTCAAAAAAGCTTTATTTTGATTTCAGCAGAGATTGCGTGAGTTTTTGTGTTTCTTACCCCTGGTCAAAAATAAACTTGGCATTTCATGCATCTTCTTTGCTCCGTGGAGAAACCAACCTTGAGTGTGGCCACTTTCTGACCGGGTCTCTGGGGGGGTTCTTAAGATTTTCTCTGTATCTCCGTTCTACTGAGCTGGAGATACAAATGGGATCCCACAATTTTAGCAAGTCCCCAGGGTGATTTAGGACACAGGCAGATTTTTGTGTTCAGTAGCTTCAATAGCTTCAATAATCATGCTCTGCATGTAACGGTTACTTTGCAACTGAGAAGCCACATCCCCGGGCATTCCAAACTATCCAGATCTATATTCTCACCTAGAGCAAACACTTGCTAGAAGCAACTTATTTGGGCTTGAACTTCAATTTTTACCGCTGCCCCCTCAACAGGGAATTCTGCTTCCTATGAGAGCTTGCTTCTGTCTCCTCTCCTCCCCTCCCTGCTCCCCTCCCCTCTCCCCTCTTCTCTTCCTCCTTCCCTCTCCTCCTCCTCCTCCTCCTCCTCCTCCTCCACAGCAGCCAGGGTAGCACTGATGGACTCACTCACTTTGCAAGCATCTTCTAAGCACCTACCCTGTGTGCAAGATACCAGAGTATTGCAGTGAATGAGATGGGTTCATTGCAGCCCCTTGGGCCTCCTACCTTCTAATGAGGGAGACAGACTGAAACAAGTAAAACAGAATTAAGAAGAGGATTATCATTATGGTCATAAGAACTCTGAAAGGGATTGAAAACAGGGTGCAGGACGGAGTGGAGGCATTTTGAATAGGGTGGCCAGGGAAAGCCGTAGAGAGGGTTTTAGAAAGGATTCTAAGTGTGGCACCCTGGGGTATTCATGTGTCCCTTAAGTGGCCAAAACTGGCTGCGAAAGGCTTCACCCCCGAACATTCCCTGGTTCTGGAATGATCAGTACTCCCTGTCCTGTGCGAGTAGAAGTAAAGAGGCTGTCTTTGTGTTTGAACTTCAGCATTCAGGTCAAGGAGCGTTGCAACTACAGAATCTGCAAGGGAGCAAGCACGGGGTGTGATGAGGGATGCTGTCTGAGCAGCAAGTCCTCTGAAGACAGGCTTCATGCCTCTCAGAGCTGTTTTGTGGCTGTAATTAACGTGATGCTGACAGCCTGCTGTGGGTAACCACGTTGACCCAAATTGCAAGCAACTGGAAGAATGTTTTCCCTGTCTCCCCCAAACGCACAATCACAGCACACGGTGTTAATGCAATGACTGCCGTGGGCCCAGGTTCAGTGAAAGCTCTCGTAAAAACACCGCCAGGAGGGAGGTTGAGACTCTCCTGCCTGAAACGGGGGTGCCGATCACAAGAAAGCTAAATATGGGGGGTGAAGAACTACCTTTCAGGGGCCTGGCCCAGTATTGGTTGGTCAGTTGGAAGCAACATGAAGGTAGGGCGTGCCAAGGAGTGGAACGATGACTTTGTTCTAGAAGGTTCTAGAAAGGAATTTTCTTCTATACATTGGAGAAAGGCTTAGAAATTAAAGGCATACTTGGAACCATACAAGAATTTCTCACTCGGATGTCCTAAGTATGTTCTACCTTAAAACCCTTGCAGAACTCGAACTCGCTCTTGGCCAAACATGCCGTTTGCTTTTAGACCATAAAGATGGTTCACGACGGTTAACACCTAGAAAGCAACCTGACTCCAAATCCAGAACTCTCCACTAAATCAAAAAGATCCCTTCCAACTTAAGATAACAGAAATATTTTATATTTATAGAAATATTTTATATTTATATTTATAGGTCTATATACAGACCTACTCCAGGTCAGACACTGTTGTAAGGACTTTGTATATGTTGACACATTTACTCCTCACGATGATGCCATGAGGTGCAGTAGGGAAACTTAGCATAGAGAGGTTAAGTGGCTGGCCTCAAGTTGCACAGCTATTAAGTGGCAGAACTGGGATTCAAAGCCAGGCTCTGGAGCCCACTGAACTACAACTGTGCAGAAATCGCAGAGTTAGCAGGCACTCGTTTCGCAAACATTTACCGAGACATTGCAGATGCACCGTGAAACAAGTCATTAATCATTTCTCTGCTTTGTTTTTGCGGCAAGCAGCCCATGGCCAAATAAATGTCTCTCCTAGAGCTGGCCTCTGGGCCCTCAGGGAGTGTACCTTAGTAAAGAATTTTGTGTGTGCATCTTATCCCTGTTTTCAACTTGTCTTTCTCACACGTATGTTCCTAACAATATGATTTTCCCGCTTAAAAAAACATACCAAAATCTTTTGTGAGCTTTTGGGAGCTTTTGGGATCCAGGAAAGGCAGGATGTAAATAAACACACCAGTAATGTAAACATTAGGAATGTTCCTAAGGACCCATCACATGCCTCTTGGCCTGTGCATTAAACCGTTAACCAGGGGCGCCTGGGTGGCGCAGTCGGTTAAGCGTCCGACTTCAGCCAGGTCACGATCTCGCGGTCCGTGAGTTCGAGCCCCGCGTCGGGCTCTGGGCTGATGGCTCGGAGCCTGGAGCCTGTTTCCGATTCTGTGTCTCCCTCTCTCTCTGCCCCTCCCCCGTTCATGCTCCGTCTCTCTCTGTCCCAAAAATAAATAAACGTTGA